ATTTTATCAATCCTTTATTTGTAGATTTTAATTTTCTTCGATTATTTGCACACACTTTGTTTATTTTTCTTTTTTTTCTGTCAACACAAGAAGTTTTGTCAATCTGTCTGTATACTTTTTCAGATATCAGATATATTGTAAATATAATAGTCCTTTATTTTTTATTGTTAAGTTTTTTTTTTTGAAAAAAAAAACTTTTTAGAATTGATTGATTAAAAAAAATGAAATGAAATGAGGAATTATCGTAACTTTTAACTTCTATTTCTTCCAACATTTCAATCATTGTTACGTTCCCTTTTCTTCCAAAATCGTTCTATCTGCAATACGAAAATAACAAAAAATATACCGCTTAGAAATGTACTGATTAAATTAATTGATTTCAAATTGGTTAAGAAGAGGTTTTTATTGTTATATAAAAAAATTATGCCATCTATACTAAAATCAAACTGCTAATAGTAAAATTTTAAGGAATATCAGTAATAATTGCTAATTAAATTTAATGAAATTAAATTTTAATTATTGATCTTTAGTTGATAAAACTTTTTTCACTTGTTCTTTATTACAGTATCGGTTTACTGTTTTTGCTTTCTTCATAATACATCACACATACACAAATACTTCTTCCAAACAATTCATACACAATCACAAAATACACTAAACGGCATGCTTTCTCCTTTCATTTTTCTTTGTGCATTTCCATCAATTGAATTTTTTTTTTGACTTAAGAAATGAAAAATAAAATTTAAATTTAGGTGCATTAATGATACAGCAGGCGAAAGAAGAAGATCAAGGGAAGTATGAATGTGTTGCAAGGAATATTCATGGTGTTGCACATTCTAAAGCTGCTCATTTATATGTTAAAGGTTCAATTTATTAATAATAAATAAAATTTGATGATTTTATAAAAGTTGATAATAAAATTTGATGAAAATTTGATGATTTTAGTTTGGCAAATTTTAACAAATTGTATGTTAATGACAGAAAAAAGAATGAAAGCGACAAAATAGGATAATGGATAAAATGATTAAGATATATTTAATGTTTTCTTTTGCTTTTATTTCAATGATTGTTTAAAAACATTTCAATTAACTTTTATTTTTTATTTTTTTCATCTACAAACATACTGAATGCAGTATAGCATATCGTTTTGAGCTTACGTTATCATATGTAGGAAAAAGAAATAAAATTTTATTTTTATTTTAACCTGTGATAAGTTTTGTATTCATCCATACAGCGATTTGCATTATTTAATTTCTTTATTTTATTTATTTGTTTAATTTCTTTACAGTATTTTTTGCTTTGTAGTTCGACGAGTACCGCCATATTTCTCATATAAACTTGAACGCTTATATAAGATAGCGCCAGGTGGTGCGCTTAATTTAACTTGCGTTGCGGTCGGATATCCAATGCCACGGGTATTCTGGAAAAAATCCGATGATACATATCTTAACGATCCACAAGCTGCACCAATTGGTTAAATTTTTATTTTAAGCAATAAAATTTACAATTGAAGGGAAGAGAAAAAAGATTCAGTAACAAGATTTCTTTTTTTTGATCATTTCTATTATAACTTTTATTTCATTTCTCAATTTATTTCAAAATATTAAAAATAATGTCGCAATTATTATTATCAATGAAACAGAATTGATTTTTTGAAAATGCTCAATTATTCTTGTAAAAAAATGACTTTTATTTAAACAATTCGCTAGAAAAAAAAGAAGATTTTCTTCTCGAAATGTAATTTTCTTGAAAAGAAATAAAATGCTAGAAAAATCTATTTTAGTTGAATATTTTTAACTAAAATAATTTTTGTTTTTTAAAAATAATTTTGAATAAAATAAGAATTGAAATTTTATTTAGGCCGAAATGTGCTAACATTGACAAGGATTGAGAAAACGGAGAATTATACATGTGTTGCAGTTAGCAAACTTGGTAATATCGAAGCAATGACAACTGTTGAAGTGAAATGTATGCATTATTTTGATAAAATAAATTTAATATTTTTCTTTTTGTTTAAATTTTAATATCTGAAATAGTGATATTTTTATTGCTAATTCTTGACCTCATAATATTTGTAAATAGAGAATCGAAATTTCATTACTGTTCAATTCATTTGCTTTTTTTCATGTCATTATTAAATTTATTTCTAATTATAGCACAGTGGTTAGTAAATTATTAAATTATTTGTTAATTGCTAAATCGTAACACTTTTAAGTTATATACTTTTTTATTTTTGGTGTAGGAACTAATTATTTTTGAATTTCTAAGCTATTCAAACAAGTAATATTAGTCTTCTCTATGTTTTGCTTGCTTTTTTTACATTTTTCACATTTTGAAATTTTTGTGACATACCACTGTAAAATATACCGTACCTCCATAATATCGTTACCGTAACACCGAATTATATCATCTTTCCTTGTTCATTCTGTGCTACTGAAAATAAATGTTATTTTTAAAATTAAAAAATGGTTTTTCTTCTAAATGTTCTTTTTAACGAGAAAAATAGTTATTGATGGTTTAGAAATGAAAACGATGCAAACACAAGAATTAAAATGTAAAATTTAAATTTAAGCGGTTCTTTTGAAATGAAATTATAATGACTATGATATAAAATAAAATTATGACTTTTTTATTTTTTTTTTGATCGAAAAAGAAAGCATTTGGACCGTACAGTGTTGAAGTTTTTTTATATTTAAAAAATTTTCACTTTAGCTAATTGTGTTTAATAAATTTGTTTTTATATTCATTGTTAAAATTCATGACTTTTTTTTGTTAGCAAAATTCATTTACTGTTCACTCGTGACTTCTTTTTAATTTAGCTTGTTTCACTCTTTTTTTAATTAAATTATAACTCTAATTTTTGCAACTAACATTTGTCATTTAAAAATTAAGTCTGAAATTTCCAGCTTAAATGAAAATTTTAAGAAAAAAGAAAACAAATCTTTAATTTCTCCAAGGCATTAGGAACACTGACTTTTTTTTTTCAAAATGAATATGTCTATCATTTACCGATATCATGATTCTTTAACTAAAAACGTAATCATTTTCAATACTTGTGAAGAGTAATAGTTGCATTCTATGAAAAGGAATACAAACTATTTTAAATTTAAATTTGAATTTTTGGACTAAATTAATAACTCAAATACAAATCACATATTTTTTCTACAGCATTACCTCGTGCTCCACAAAATTTACAAGTGTCTGATGTAACACCAAATAGTGTTCGCGTGAGCTGGGATCCGGTGTATATTGAAGCGGAACCAGTTAAAAAATATATCGTCAAGTATCGCCAAAAGTAAGATTTCTAAAGTTACTGTCAAAGGTCGGTGTAAAAGTTTATTTATGTTCTAATTCAAGTGGCAGTGTATTTTAATTCAGATTGCAGTGTATTAAACAAAATGCATGTTATTAGAAAGATATTAGCATCTTTTCTTCAAGTGTTAAAACTTTAATATTATCTATCAAGTTTAACATGGAATGGATAGATTGATAGTTTCAAAATTTAACAGTTTGCAAAGCAAATAAATGCTAAATTGGAAATGAATTAGTAATGACAAAAATTATTCAAAAATATTTTAAATTCTCGTAATTTATGTAACATTTTATTATTAACTAATTTTTATTTACCCTAATTTTTATCTATGAAGATTGAAACTTCAATATTATTTTCTAAGTTTAGCATGGAATGGGTATATTGATAGCTTTAAATTTAATAATTAACAAAATTTAAGCAAATTTTCCATTACTCATTTATACAATAAAATATTTGTATTTTTGTTAAGTAATTCATGCTTTAATTTTGCAAGTAAAATATTTTTTAGCATATTTTTATCGTTTGTTTCTGAATGTTGCAGTAAATGAACGATTTAGTATCAAAAAAAAATTATTTTCAATAATTCTAACATGCATGTTCACTCACTTTTTGTGTGTTTTTTTTTGAAGGAGTGTTACTACCTTATCAACACCAATATTTCCAGCTGATGGTATCGAGTAAGTTATTAAATTTGAATTAATACTTCAATTATTTGCAACTAATTAAAATTAGCAATTGTTTATTACAGGCCATATCAATAGTAATTTATTCAATTGATTAGTAATCATAGTTGTGATATTATTGCTGTTGTTAACATTTTATCTAGCAATCTTAGAATTTGTTATTCAATTTATTGCTAACCTGAATGTTTATTGCATGCAAAATCAACTAGCAATTTAAAAAATAAGTTGAATTTCAACTTTTTAAAATTTTCATTTTCCTCTAAAAATGTCATCATGTCTAAAAGTTAATAAATCTTTTAATAGTACTAGAAGATATAGCAAAAAATCATATAATCGCGAAAGATTATTTTATTTTTAAAACTTTTTTTGTCTGCTAAACAAATAAGATATTTGCTTACTTGCTGAGCAATTTTTTTTTAAAAATCTTAAAAATCTTCAAAAATTTATAAAAAAGAATTAAAAATCATCAGCGACGTAGTTAGAATAAAATTCGTTGACTATTTTACAGGTGACCTAAGTTTATATATTTTTACGAAACAATCTTTTTTCGAATATTTTTTGCAAGACGTTGCCAAAATTTTAACTTACCAAATGAAAAAATAAACAAATGAAAATGTTTTCATTGAATAGCGGGTTTAAATTGTTTAATTTTCAATTAATGACAATATTTCTGAAATATAAAAGATGATTTTTAAATGTTAAAAATGTCTTTTTTTGTTTCTAAACAAATATTATCTTATTTGCTGAGCAATTTATTTTGAATTAAAAATCTTCAGCGAAACGCAGTTGAAGTAAAATTCGTTGAGAGAGATTAATTTCTGAGTTTCATACTATGTTTTTTCTTTCTTCTCTTCTCATAAAATTTTTGCATAATATTTCAGGTATGATGAAGGATCATCCAAGCAGATAGAAGTGAGTGCAAATATCACCACGACTGTTATTACCGAATTGGAACCTTATCAGGTTAGTTTAATAGATTATTATCAAATTCATTCGAAATTAAGCCAAGCAATTGTTATGTATAATTAAATTTTATTTTCATATCTAAAAAAAATTTAATTTTAATGCTTAGTAGAAATATTTAAAAATTAAATATTAATTGGCTTATAAATACAATACCAGTTGCGCTGGTAATTAAATATCATTAAATATTTCAAATTTAAGAAAAATTAGAACACATTATTGCTGTCATTAATTCATCCTCATCAACTGAAAAATGTGTGCAAATTCAAAATACTTGACTGATGTTTTCAAGAAAAAAAGTTGAAATTTATCATTTTATGATACTTTAAGAAATTATTTATAATTGAATAACTGCAGTAACAAAATTACTGCATATTTCAAATCTGAATTAATTAAAATTCTACAGAGAAATTTTTATCATTTTTTTATAAATAATTGATGAAAATGAAAGAAAACAAAAGGAAAAAGATCGAGGTAAGAAACTTTATCATTCTGTCTTGTTTTATCTTTCTTTTATTAAATGCAATATAAAATAAAACATTTTTTATTTGAAACATTTTCAGCTTTTTTTTGTATTTTAGTTATACGAAATCACAGTATCATCTGTTAATGTGATTGGCCGTGGTATTGCAAGTTTGCCAAAGGAAGTGCAAACGAATGAAGCAGAGCCAAGTAGTCCACCACGGAAGGTACAGGCTCGGGCATTAAGCCAAAGTTCCATTTTAATTCGCTGGGAACCACCGAAAAAACCAAATGGACGGATTACGGTAAAAATTAACAAAATTATTTCGAAATTTTGGATTTTTTAAAATACTAATTGTAAAAAATTTTCATTTGAAATAAAATTTCTTCTTTATATTACAAAAGAATTTTAAAAAACTATTTTTAAAAATAATTGATGATATTTTTCTAAATTTTGATAACAATTACTTAAATTAAGTTAAATCTAATTTACGAAATGTTATATTTTTAGGGATATACTATTTACTATACCAATATGGAACCAACAACACCATATTCTTTATGGAAAATAGTAAATTTTAATGAAAATTGAATTAAAAAGCTGTTTTTTTCTACTAAGCATTCATTCAATAATTTAATAAGTATTACTAATAATAATATTGACCAATGTCGAATAAAAATAAATTTAAAAAAATGTTAGAATTAGAACAAATTATTTGAAACTAATAATTGTTTAATTAATTTTACATATTGATATATTTATGATAAATAGCAAAAATTATTGGAAATAAATAAATATGATAAGAAAAAAATTAATAGTTTTGGGATGAATAATGCAAATGATACAGTCATTATCATTTATCATTATTTAGCAAGAAATTAAATCGGATGAGTTAATTGCGACAATAATAAATTTGAAATCTGAAAGTATTTATTACATTCGTGTACAAGCACGAAATGCTAAAGGATTAAGTCCAATGTCACAGCCTGCAACCGTTTTCACACGACAAGGAAGTAAGAAATTTTTCCGATAAAATATATTTCTTATTTTCTATTTTAAAATTTTGTTGTTATTAGCTGTCCTATTTTTTTAATCAATTAATGAACATTATGGTATTATTGATGGAGATGCATTAACAGTAGTAAAATGATGCATTTAATTTCTTATTTTAATGATGTAAATTTTAGAAATTAGCAAATTTTAGCAAAATATATTTCAAGAAATGTTAAAAATTCTGAAATTCTATTAAATTATCAATGAATGTAATATAGTATATTGTGCAATTATGTTTTGTTAATACTTTGATATACTTTAATTTAAAAAAGAATAGATGAGTAATATTGAAATTTAATTATGCAATTTATATCATCGAAACCATCATTAAAACAGTTCAGCTGTCTTTGTGTATATTAATTCCATATCAAATATATGGAACTCTTGAAAAAAAATTTTTTTTTATCTCCTATGAAATCATCTTAATTAATTACTCACTGCTAATATTATCGGATTATTTGATTGTTCCTCGATTAACATTATCTTTTTATTGATTTCTTTCTGTTTTTAATTTTCTGCTAATAAAAAAAAAAATTTTTTTTTTTCAATCACATCATTTTCCATATAATCTCTTCTTTTTCTCCTTGATAGATTTATTTTGCANAGATGTATAATTTTGTTTTTAAAAAATTTGAAGTCAAANTGACTGGTTCAAATAATTAATAATAATTAATTTGCATAATTTTTTTACAGTTCCGGGACAACCAGCAAGTCTTACAGCAAAAGTTCTCGATTCGAATCGAGTTCAACTTACATGGGAGAAACCGCTACATTCATATAATGTTATCGGTTATTCAATTCATTTTAATGCATCAACCGGAAATAGTGGAGAGTTAACACTTACAATACCGGTAGAAAAACATATCATCGATGGTTTAATTCCTGACACCTTTTACTCTTTCCGGTTAGAAACTTTTTTGTATAATTGTATATGCTTATGCATACGTGTATATGTATGTATGTACATGTCTGTGTATGTGTATGTGCTTATATATATGTGTATTGTATCTGTATGTCTGTGTATGTGCCCATGCATGTGTATATGCGTGCGCGTGTATGTGTGTGTATATGCATGTACTGTGCGTGTATGTGTGTATGTGTGTGTATGTCCATGTATGTGTGTGTGTGTGTGTGTGCATGCGTGTGTGTCATGTGTGTGTATATATGTATGTTTTTGTTTAACAATGGAAATTAAATTATGAAACCGAAAAATAAAAAAGTTAATCTAACTTAAAGAATTTTCAAATGAATACAATAAAGAGTGATAATTAAAGTGTCATTCACCGTGAAGTTAATTAACTAAAATTTATCATATAGAGGAAAAATAATTTGATAGATGAATGTAAATTAATTAATTCAACAAAGTTGAAAATTTTTAGAAGAGAGAAATTTGAATAGGAATAAACTGATTACTCATTAATAATTTTTAACCTATTTATTCATATTGTCCTTCCTTTTCGTTGTTTCATTGATAAAATTTTTTAAATTACACATTTTAAAGTATTAAAAAGATTATTTTTTGCTAATTATATAATATGATTATTATAGGATAGCAGCTCAATCAGAGAGAGGTATTGGTGCATTTTGCGCTGATGTTACTGTTAAAACACATCCAAATGGTGAGAAATTTTAAAAGTTTTAAATTATAAAGCTTAAAAAAAATAATCAAATAGTACAATTGTTCTTTTCAACATTTATTGCTCATTTTATATATCTGTTAATTTATGATAAACATGAAAAATGCAATGAAACGATATGAAAAGGTAATTGTCGCACGCAAAGAAATTTAATTTTGATTTTGTCCATTTATTAATATATTTTTATATGCGACATATATTATATAAATTTTTTCAAATTCCTATTTTGTTTTTAACATTAAATGGCCATTTAAGTCGATCAAATGACCCGTTCAATAAAGCAACGAATTTAAAAAAAAAAAGAATTATATTATACAGCTTATATTTGCATGCATTGTTTTGGTATGCGTAAAAGTAGTTGTGCTGTTTACTCGAATAGCTAATTAGCTATATAAATTATCATTAATTTCCAATTTTAGAAACAAAATTTTTGGTTATTTTATAATTATTGTAATTTCTGTAATTTTGCATATGTTGTGGTTGAATTATTTGTTGTTTTTTATTTTGTTACAGTTCCAATAGTTTCACCGAAAATTATTTTACTAAAAGCGCTTTCATCACAATCTTTATTTATTCGTTGGAAAGCGCCGCAACTGTTAGAATATGATCAGAAAGATAAAATTCGAAATTATCTGATACGTTGGCGTCCAATTTTGGTAAATAACGAAACGGATAATAATAAAATATGGCAAAGTGATGAAGATGATGAAGAACTATCATCCGGAAAAAGTGAAAAAAACGAAAAACAATGGCTGGAAATTATTCATGATGCTGTATTAGATAATAGCGCAATTATCAAAGGATTAAATCCGCATACGCTGTATGAAGTAAACATTGCAGCCGGTACTGATATGGGTTACGGACCGGGATGTGAACCGGAACAAGCGCAAACCGATGAAGATGGTTGGTGTTGTTTATTTATTTATTTTTGTTGTTGTTGTTTTGTGATTTGCATGCATGTTTCATGCTGTATGAAATAGTTTAAATAATTTAATAAATATGATTAAAATATAGTAATAAAATATAATAAAAATATAACAATGAAATAAATAATAGTAAATATAATAAAAATATAATAAATGTAATAATAATAATACAATATTGTATCATATTACTATCACTTATAAGTTGTTACGTTTTTAATTTTGATAAAATTCATTATTACAAGGTATTTTCGTTGATTTTATAAATGCAGTGATTGAAATTTGAAATATTTTTCGTGACTTTTTTTATAAATTAACAGCGTAACATTTTAATAAAAGTTGAATTATTGCACAAAATTTCGCTCAAATCAATTTAACAATGTTTTTTGCGAAATTAATAAAATTAAAAATGCAAAAATGAAAGGAAAAATTTAATTGTATTTTAATTTAAGTATCAAATGTAGCAACGCAACGTAGACCAGGTAAGCAATCATTGTTTTACTTGAATATTGTAATTGTGTACTTCTTCAATGATTTATTGTGTGCTTAATTTTTAAATCTTATTTAAATCGAACTTATTTAAATTTGCGTTTTTATTCGGTTGTTATAATTTTGAAATCATTATTTTGCAAACAAAAAAATGAT